GAAGTGGATTTTCATAACTATATGTATATAGACATCATCATAAAAATTAAACTGGAGTTTTAGACAATAGTTCTTGAAGGTTTAATTCAGACGCACAACTGAACATACAATATACATATATGTCATCAATTAAGGCAAAATTTCAATGCAAGCATGCTAGATCAGAGAAAAAAAATCAGAAAAAAACTACAAAATACCACATTTCCATTTAGGCCAAACAAAAAAATATGTGTGGTTCCGGTTACACCTCCAAAAAAAAAATTAGGGTAGGTAGGTAGGAATTTTTTTTTTTTTTTTTTTTTTTTTTTTTTTTTTTACAAAATGATTTTCTATTTTTTTTTCTAAATAACACCTATCACTGCTTTGCAAATGGCATTTAGATGTGGTGTGATAATATATTAGTCAACATTGGTAGGGGGCACCCTAGTTACATGTATGAATATCAAAAAAAAATTTTAAAATCAAAAATAATAAAAACACAAATAAAATTCAGGAAAAAATATGAAAATTGCCAAAAAAAGTTTAGGGTCGGGGGTATAAAATAGGGACGGTAGGGTAACCGGAACCATGCATATTTTTTTATTTGGCCTTATGAAACTAGTACAAACAAACAATTACTATCAGTAATACTGTACGAAACAAACTTGTCTACTTATGTACCAAGTTTTATTAAATTTGGATTAAATTTCAAGGAGGAGAAGCATTTTGAAAGGATTTGACAGAAATTTCTATTTATAATATATATTCAAGACAAAACAAGATTAAATCTGATTTTAAAAATTGTGCATCTTTGTGTATTCTACTTGTGTATCAGGTTTTATCATATTCAGATCAAAACTATAGAAAATATCATGTTTAAAAAAGATGTTTTCAATGGACACCTCATCTCTGGTCTTCAAACAAAAGAGTTAAAAATACATTCAAGGCAACAATAAACAAAGGAAAGTTGGTTTATAGTACATGTCTATGATTTTCTGTTTCCTGCTGAATAAACAAGACTGATAAGAAAAAAATACTGATATTATTCTCAGTTGTCAGTAAACCAGAGCCCACAACCATTACTAGTAAATTAATGCTATTACACAACAACAAAATGCATGCCTTTATCACTAGTTAATGAAAAAGAATAAAACACACATTCATTAACATTCCTTATAATTGCTTGCAACTAAAACATGCAATATGAAAAAATACAATATGAAATAATGATTCTAAATAATTACAATAAGGTGTTTTATTTTCATTTCTGTATTTTGCTAAATAATTTTTAATGCATGCCATATTTCTAAGAGCACCTTTATCTTTAAGATGAATGAAAAGAAATAATTCAAGGTGTGTTTCCCCGCTAAACAATGTTCAGACAGAATGGTTTGGCCCCAATATTGTTAACGTGGAATGTTTAAGAATATTAAGACATGGAATATTAACTTTCAAAATTAACTTCAGGTTTATCACCCCTCTCTTCACTTGTGTAAATTTTTGCTTTAAAGCTAATGATTTTCTAAAAGAAATTGAATTTATATTTAAAACACAAACAATTTCAACATATCTTTCAGTGCAAAATTAAACAGAAATGGCCTTTTAAGTTGACAATATTATAAAAAACTAGAAATATGTCCATAGGACATGAATGCCCCGCCGAGGGTATATTAGTAATGCAACATTTTAACACAAATTGAGAAAAGTGAGGTCAAGGTCAAAGGAAAGGTCAAGGTGAAAAAATATTGATGCAGTTGAATAGCTTACATTAGTATGTATCAGCATATGAAGTTTGACACAAATTTAAGAAAAGTGAGGTCAAGGTCGAATGAAAGGTCAAGGTCAAAAATTGTTTATGCAGTTGAAAAGGTTACATCAGTAAGTATTAGCATATGAAATTTGATAAAAATATTATGAATGGTTTTAAAACTGAGCTAAACACTAATTTAAGAAAAGTGAGGTCAAGGTCAAAGGAAAGGTCAAAGTCAAAAAATATTGATGCAGTTGAATAGCTCTCATCAGTATGTATCAGCATACAAAGTTTGACACTAATTTAAGAAAAGTGATGTCAAGGTCAAAGGAAAGGTCAAGGTCAAAAAATGTTGATGCAGTTGAATAACTCTCATCAGTATGTATCAGCAAAAAATGAAGTTTGATAACATTATCTTGAATGGTATCTTTAAAACTGAGCTAAAAACCAGGGTTCTCATTAACGCAAGAATCTGCGTCCTAGACGCAGCAAAATTACTTGGGACGCAAGGTTCTTAAAAACGATGCGTCCTCGTTAGCGAGAAAATTCGGGTGATTTCGAAAACGGGGAATTTAGATGTTAGGATTTGTCAAAGAAATATTTAATCGAAACCTTCCTGTAACTATCATAAAGTTTATCCAAGAAACAACTTTTTTTATACTTACTTCTCTTTTTTTTTAAAACAGGGATTGGTCATAAGATATTTCATGTTTATTAGTCCATAGTCATAATAGTGTCGCATGCCAAACTCCGACAGCTGTAAACACACTGCAGTTTTTTTTTAAAAACACTTTTGAATCTTGAGTGTTATCTACATGTAGAAACCATAATTACTGCTTGTATACACAATGCGGCTTGATTACCTCGTGAATTTCACCCAGTGCAGACGACCGACAGGATTAGTTACGCCTCATTGCACATGACACCTGTGATTGTATACAGTCAACTTCTGGGTACTTGATTTTTTAGCTTTATAAACACCAAGTTATTTTTATGGCAATTGATTACGCGTGTATTTTAGAATATAGCTTGAATGCATTACCAGTTTATATACTTGAATATGTTAATACTGCGTAAACAAACTGATAAAATGATAAAGATTTTTATTTATGTTTGGATGGAAGGATACTGCAATAATTTAGTTGGGACTCAACATAATTTTTCTGGGACGCATCAAATTTAGCTGGGACGCAACCTTCTCAGAAACCTTGAGTCCTGGGACTCAAGTTAGCAAAATCCTAGTGAGAACCCTGGCTAAAAACGTATTTAAGAAAAGTGAAGTCAAGGTCAAAGGAAAGGTCAAGGTAAAAAATATTGATGCAGTTGAATAGCTCTCATCAGTATGTATCAGCATATGAAGTTTGTTAAAAATATCTTGAATGGTTTCATTAAAACTGAGCTAAACACTAATTTAAGAAAAGTGAGGTCAAGGTCAAAAGAAAGGTCAAGGTGAAAAAATATTGATGCAGTTGAATAACTTACATCAGTATGTATCAACATATGAAGTTTGATTACACTATCTTGAATGGTATCTTTAAAACTGAGCTAAACACTAATTTAAGAAAAGTGAGGTCAAGGTCAAAAAATGTTGATGCAGTTGAATAGTTTACATCAGTATGTATCAACATATGAAGTTTGATTACACTATCTTGAATGGTATCTTTAAAACTGAGCTAAACACTAATTTAAGAAAAGTGAGGTCAAGGTCAAAGGAAGGTCAAGGTCAAAAATTGTTGATGCAGTTCCATAGCTCTCATCAATATCTATCAGCACATGAAGTTTGATAAAAATATCTTGGATAGTTTCTTTGAAACTGAGCTTTGAACAGAGCTAAACGCAAAGTGTGACGGAAGGACAGACGGAAGGACGGAAGGACAGAAGGACGGAAGGACGGAAGACGGACATGACAAACACTATATGCCCTGGCCATATTCATGGCGGGGCATAAAAATCATAGTCATTTATCCAAGTTGTAGTTATCTCTCTTATCAGAGAGTCCATGAGCCAAAAGTAGTAGAACATGTAAATATGCAAGTTAAAAAAAAAAATTCATATTTCTCCACCAATTAATAACATGAAGTTTCCAAACATATTTTCTTTTAAGCTAATATTTCAATACAGTTTGATCACCATGTATGATTTATACCTCCATAAATTCATGAAATAATTATTAATACATATGTTAATGAATTGCTGCACAATGATTACAAAAAAACTCAGAAATATCTTACGAGACTGAAGCTCTAGATCTACTGCCTAAAGTTTATAATTATCTACAAGAAAATTGCACTTGGACTTTAAAACCATTTGTTTTCAAGTTTTGTTTTGTTTTCTCTTCTTTTTTCTGAGTTTTGTATATTTTACTTTCACGATTTAATTATTTTTGTTTTCTAAATTTGTACAAGGTTTTATTTAAACCAAAAGCCAGGTGAAGCAGTTTTTGGAAATAATTTAAGAACTATTTATTGTTAAAGTAACAAAATTAAGAAACAATGTTCATTTAAAAACGAATAATTGATGACAATTATGCACTTTGACATACCCTGACAAACACTTTACCAATGCATAAACACCCATAGTTTTCAACCAGAAAACCTTTAAAAAGAAAAAAAAATAACACAATGGTTAATGTGAATCAGCAAGCTGAAAAAGTACGTTACGTTTAAATGCTATGCCCTAGTACATGTATTTCTAATTACTTCATCATGGGATTTTTTCAATCCAAGAAAAAACTTTTCAGACAACACTGATATTTACGCTTTTAAAATTTTCAATCAATTCATTTGATGCCAAAATTTACTTCAATGTTTTATCACTTGTAAAACCTTCAATCATTTGATAAGGAATGTACAACAAATAATGATGCATTGCACCATAAACAGTTATTAATAAATAAACAAACTTCACAACTTTTAAAAATAAATCTCAAAATAATTAACAATGCATAAAAAAGAATACTTAAGCTTACTAACAAATTATAAATATATCAAAAAGCAAAGTCATATTTGTAAATAGAACCCTCTGGTAAAATATACACATTAGTACCAATCTGTGAAAGGCACAAATTACAAATCATTAAATGCATGACTCTATCAAAAAAATAATACAAGCATGCTTTACATCTCATATTGCACCACTGAGATCAATAACAAAAAATTTAACCAGAAACAAAAACCATAATGGGCTTTTGTAGCTTTCTTAAAACCACCTTAAGCAATACCACTGGGAATTTCAACAAACATTTCAAACATTAGCAAACATTTTGTTAATGTCATAGCAGAATGCTATAAATAGGTTTTTGTCTTGAAGTAGAGGACTGGGATGGCTGATCATGATTTAGACCACCCTCATTTTCATTGACAGTGCTCTCTGGTGTTGAAGAAGATTCCACTTGAGACTGGGTTCTCGATTCCCTGGCTGCATTGCTGTCTTGACTAGAAACTGGTACAGATACAGATTCATGGATATATGGCATGGATTTAACTTTTAAGACACTTGGATTTGGTTCAGCTTTATCAGATGATAAGCTTGAGTTATTGTTTTTGTTTACTTTTTCAGTTTCTAGACTTTTGACATTGCATGGCTTTAAGCCCATTTTATTTAAGATGATTTCACCAGAACGACTGTTTGTGTCATTAGACTGTATTCCAAGAAATTTCTTCAGATCCTCATCTGAATCGTCTTGATAAGGTTGAACTGAGCCATGTTGTTCTCTTTGTTTCAAATTTCCTGATCTGTCCATACCTTGAATACTATTGCCATTAGTGAACTCCGACACTGATCTGGTAAGGTATGGCAAGAGAGATAAAGGATGAGGATCCTTTCTCTTCACATCTAGTTTCTTCCTATTCTTCTCTATTGACTTAATACCCTTTCTGTCTTCATTAAAGAAACTACCGTCTTTTTCTGAATTCTCAGACTTTTCCTTTTCTTGGACATTGGTGTTTGAAACTGGTGATAAACCAGGCAACATTGCCGGCAGAGATAATTGCTCAGAATTTTTCAGCTTTGGAGATGACTGGGCATATGGTTTTGTTTGGGAAAATGAAGAAAATGGGTCATGAGATGTTTTAATAGAAAGTGGAGTAACTGTATCCTTGTTGTATTCTGATCCTGTTTTTCTTGATTCCACTGCTTCCATTGATACCCCAGGTGAAACAGACTGTGTATTTGAAGCTCCATTAAAAGGAGGGTGTGAACTTGATTTTTTCCTTCTAAGTACAACTTGACTCAAGTCAATTTTCAATGGTTGTACTGGTTTTCTTTCAGCAGGTTTTGCTAGTTCTTGACTTTCATTCAATGGAGATTGTAAAGAACTCATTTCTACAGTAAATATTCTTGGTGGTTTTGGAGGGGCAAATCCAGCAGGCAAAGAAACAGTTGAAGCTTTGGAGAGCCGACGGGGATCAATTTCTCCTGGGAAAAATGGTTTTGGATAACAGAAATCATTACTTTTAGATTCAGGAGCTTCACTAGGTTTTCTTGTATTTTTTAATGAATTTTCTCTTTGCAAAGCTCTTTCTACACTGTACTTAGAGTCATCATTATGCTTTGGTATCATTTGCTCAATAATTTTATCTCCTTCACGCGAAAATTCACAGTAAGATACCCCTTGGGGATCTTGCTCTGTAAAGAAGTAATCCTGCATGAATTTTTCTCTCAGTGGATCAAGCAAATGGGTTTGTGGTAATGGTACAGTTCCCAGTGTGTAACTTCTCTCCCTTTGCATTGGGTTTTGTGGCTCATCAAAATAAGAAACAGGCCTAATGCTCCCCTTGTTTGACTGCATTTCCTCAGATCTAAATGTTGAAGATGAATGTAAATCAGAATTAAAAGTCAGTGAATCGCTATGTCTGTCAAAGTTATCAAGATCATTGATTTCTTCCTCTGTGTTACTTCTCAATGATGACTCAGAAATATGTGTCCTTTCTACAGTATTCATCACAGTTTCTTCATATGGAGGTAACTCATCATCATCTTCAATAGACACTGGCTGATTATGGGTATCTGTGATTGGGATGAAATTTGGAGAAGGGTCACATGATCTTCTGTTATCATTTATCACTACATCCTCCAATAAGTCAAATTCAGAAACAGATGCTCTTGGGACAATCATTACTTCTGGAACAGGGTCATCAATAAAACTTGTGTCACCAGATTCCAGAGCCAACTTATTCTGAACTTGTGTCAGTAATCCTTGTGTTTCATGATCATAACGGGAACCCTGTAGTGGTAAGGGTGGTCGTTGTCTCCTCCTTGATGATCTTATAGATTCATTAGCATTTGCAATTCCTCTGTGGCCACGAACTGATGAATTTCTACTGTTATTTCTACTAAAATTTTGTGCTTCAACAACATTAGCACCTGCTACAGGCATATTTCCAAACCTGCGTCCTCTTACTTTTTGTTCAGAATCTGTAAATGTTTGATGATGTGTGCATGTTGTTGGAGTATGATTTTGATTGGATACATGATGTTCTCTTGAATTGCTCTTTTGTCTTTTGTTCTTTGCTTTTTTTCTCCCTGAACCAGAAACTAATGGAGCTTGACTGGAGGAGCTTGCTCTTTCATTACCACGCTGGAAAGGGCTAGATCCATACAGCAAATTTTTCTGATTAGCTTTTTCTCGTTTCCGACCAATGCATATGTGCCTAGTACAAATAATAGCTAAAATCAAAGCGAGAACGAATTGCAATCCTGCTGTTCCCGAGAGAATGGCATGAATCAACTTAGTCATTCCTTCATTAATATCTTTATACAAATCGCCATTGGAATAAAACCCACTACTGAAATCCAGACCAGCTGCTGACATTACACCCTGACCTACAGACACCAAACAACAGAAGAATGCCACAATCGTGAAAGACATAACAGTATGCACACCTTTGCTGTATGCCGCTCCTGCTCCATATAGACCTGTTACAACAGCCATGCCGCCACCCCATGCACCTGCAGCAATGTAACTGCCCCATATTACTTCAATGAACCCAAAGACAGAGGCTGCAACGCTACATACCCCAACAAAAATCAAGACAATTGAAATCCCTGTTATGGGATATTGGGGTAGATTGAATAAGAGATGAACCCTTAGGGACATGATAATTTTGTTAGTTCATTCCCTCTTATTGTTGTTCCAAAGTTCTGATCTCCAGATAATTTTGTTGCACATAATTGTGTGGCTTCGATTTTGGTCAGTCTTCTGCTATTACCTATGTCACTTCTTTGTTGAGAGATTCCGAAACTGCAGCGGTGCTGCATTTACGTCTAGAGAATAAAACAAGCCTCTGAATTGTCATTAGCTATTAAAACAACATATCGAATATATCATTCTGACTATAAATACTAGGAATAAATAAAGAAAGTATGTTAACTCACCTGTCCTGAGGTAAACATTTTTTAAAGTTTAATCAATTTTGAATTTTGATCCCGATAGAAATTCTTCACTTCTGAAATTTGCTTTGAAAAGAATGAGTGTAGCTCTTGCTCCTAGAAAATGATCGATTTCTGTTCAAAATGAGAATTTTAAATTTTTACGTATCAAGAAAACATTTATTTACAACATAACGTTTAGCATAAATTATTGGTTGATCCCGATGTTGAAAATTACCGGAAGTCATTTTAGCATGGCTCTCACAGATCCAAACGACGTCTGCAAAATTGCTTATGATGGAAATTTGCCGCTGCTACAACTGAAAATAAGGGAAAACAGAGATCTCGCTACAAAGAAAGATGAAGTATGATGTTTGAATATTTCAATTCCTAGTTTTTCTTACGATGTCATTAAAGCATTAGGCGCCTAGTTGCTGTCAGACTCAAAAATGCTGTGTCACAGTTACAGCAGTGTTTATCTGATTGATTGAATATAAATGAAGGTAAATTGAAAATTTACAATGCACTTTGGAACATTTGTTTCATTTTATGCGACATGACACTGAAGGATATTTTTTTTGTTCTAAAATCTTCTGTTACTCTGTGTTTGTTTGGGGGGGGGGGGGGAGTACTCAAATATGCTGATGGTCAGATAGCTCAGGTGGTAGAGCACCTTACTAATTATTCAGGTAGCCCAGGTTCCAATCCTGGTCTGGTCTATTGCATTTTTCTCCTTTACTGTTACAGATTAAAACAGGCACTTGTTTTGGTACTAATTTTTTTAAACCCATAGTATAAAGACAATGGTAATAAACAGTTTGCCAACACATTTCCTCTGAAAGTGTAAATGAGTGCGATTCTGAGGAGGGAGGGGTACTCCATATATTTCAGAGCTGGATACTTTGTGTTATATTATACTATGGGTTAAAAAATTTAGTACTGAAACAAGTGCCTGTGAGTGTTATTCACAAGAACAATAGAAATCTAAATCAAATGTATACCGAGTCTGCTTCAAGTTTATTTTCAGTCTTTGTCCAGGTCATAGCCAGTTCTGCATCACGTTTGGGCATGTCGTCTTTCTATATATACTCCTGTAATTAGCATCGCAATGCAAATTAGTTTTAAGGTATTTATATGAATGTTGTCTATCTATATATACTAGGGATGTCAATTTTGTCAATAATTCATATTCGAATATTCAATGAAAGTATTCGAATATATTCGATAAAAGAAATAAAATCTGTTTTATCTTATTATAAATATGCATCATGAAAGGTTAAGCCTAGGTATACTTATATTCGAAGTAAAATTGTATGAAGACTTTTGTAGGTGTACAATAAGAGATTCCATTTGACAATTGTCAATGTTTAAAAATAAATAATTGATTTAAATGTAGAAAAGTATAATTTTAACAAATGAAACAAGTGCATTAATAGTAGCTCCAACTGAGGAACCAGTCGTCTTACCAAAGGCAAGATAGTGGCGTGAAGTTATACTGTTCAGATTTCAATACGTGTAATAAATTACATTCGTCAATTATCTGCCTAATAAGAGATATGATTATAATCTTTGATACAATGTAAACAAATATTTCCATAGACAATTTTTCTAGGTAATTAACTAATTTCCCGATAATAAATGTAAAATTCAGGATTATTTACAACTCGAGATAATCAAGTAATTTACACATGTATTCTGAAATTAAGCCCTTTACAATATTAATTACAGACTAATTCTATCAGACATCCATTCAATGATCAATTAATTTATACTCTTCATGTCTTTTAGATGTTCTAAGATTTCATTTTGTTTTCCTCGATTCTAGATCTGATCATATCTAACTAAAAAAACTTTGAAAGAACGTTTTGTATTATACGTAAAGCTTTATTGTACAATTCTTTAGCACCTTACTCAAAACAAAATACATGTAATTTAGTAGATCTATAAGATAAGAAAGTAGTGAAAGAAATCAGGCGATCGAAATTGATCGCTAGTAAATTAAACAAGGATAATTCCAGCACCGCTCTAATCAAAATTTATCAATCACAGTACTTCTTTTTATGAAATCTGAAAAACACTGAATATTTGAATCTTAAATTCATATTCGAATATCAACTCATCGAATGAATATTTGAATATTCGAATATTCATTGCCATCCCTAATATATACTCTAAATTTGCATCACAATGCGTATTAGTTTTGGGCATTTCACAGATTGAGATGTGCAATTTTTAACTAAGGGGTGGCCATATATTTTATTGAAATGGTTCAATTGCTAATGGAAATTTAAAAAAAAATCAACAATTTAAAATCATTGAATATTGATATACATGTATTAAGAACTTCTAACACTTCTGACATTACATAAAAAACGTTAAAAATTATAAGCATCGTGATGCTAATAACAGGATTATGCCCATGTTTGTAACTATTTAGAAAAAATCTTGAAATGTTGAACATGTTTAAGTGATTTCATCATGCAACACTATTTTTGTATTAGAATAACAGAAGAATACAAAGCCACTGTAATTTTGATTCAAAGCAGGTTTTGTTTACCTGTCAGTGCTGTCATACTCCTTTGATAAAGTACACTTCAACAATTTGCTCAATTATTTTAAAGAATGTAGTATCGGCAAGAAATAACTTGTTTTCAACACTCAGATCAATTAAGTTTTAGCACAAAAATATAAGTGCATATCAATCAGCTGTAACATCCCTAAATATTTCCTTGAAGTGATATTGTATTATTATAATTACAAAAAAAATTATAATGTTATCAATCTGATTAAAATCAGATCCTTTGATCTGCTCACATAGATAGCTACACATGTGTAGCGATCTATGTGAGCAGATCAAAGGATTTTAATCAGATTGTAATGTTATAAGCCACTGTAATTTGTATTCAAAGCAGGTTTTGTTTACCTGTGAATTAAAGAGTTTTTAGAATAATCACAATAATCAGACTTTAATAATTAGGGCCTCGCAAGGATTTGCGGGTGCCCTATAGTAATCACTCTGTCTGTCTGTCCATCTGTCTGTCCGTCTGTCATTCTTCCGTCCACAAATTTTCTGTTTTTTTCGAATAACTTTTTTTGTAGTTGACCAATTACATGTAAGTTCAAATTTGGTATGTTGGTTGAAGAGGTAGTAAGACATATTTTGATGCTAAGTTTGGTTCTCTATGTCATCCAGTTTGGAGCTGGGGTGGTGGGGTAGATTCCCTAACTTTACATTAGAATAAATGCCAGGGCAAAGAGAGATAACTGCTTAGAATGTTCCTATTGTACGGTATATACTCGCCTATAAGTCGGTTTTTTGGGAGTTAAACTTTGATTCTAAATTCTTTGTCCGACTTATAGTCGAGTTACAAGAAGATTGCAATTTTAGAGGGTCAAGCCCTCTAATATAAGCTTAAAAAGTACAACCGACTTATAGGCGGACCGACTTATTTTCAAGTATATACGGTAAACTATGAAAGCTGCAACTAGTCCCATGGGATTAATTAACTTTCCTCTCGAAGAAAATCCAAAGCATTATCTGTTTCTGTCAAATCGAGATTAATTAACACTTCTGTCTACAAATGAAGTTTGATTTGAAGTTAAGGTCAATTCTGAACGATGTTTACATTCTCTGAAATGTGGATTTAAATAATGTTCATACTTTATTTTGGTAAAATACACAATGAGTTATGATTTTATTAAATTCTAAAAAACAAGATATACATAAAGATATGCTTTTTTTTTAAAAAATTTTTTAGCTCACCTGAGCTGAAAGCTCAAGTGAGCTTTTCTGATCACCCGTTTTCCGTCATCCGTCTGTCTGTAAACTTTTCACATTTTCAACTTCTTCTCAAGAACCACTGGTCCAATTTTAACCAAACTTGGTACAAAGTATCCTTGGGTGAAGGGGAGTTTAAATTATTAAAATAAAGGGCCAAGTCCCCTTTCAAGGGGAGATAATCAAGAAAAGACAAAAATAGGGTGGGGTCATTAAAAAATCTTCTTCTCAAGAACCACTGGGCCAAAAAAGCTGAAACTTATGTGGAAGCATTCTGGGATAGTGTAGATTTTAAATTGTTCAAATCATGACCCCCGGGGGTAGGGCGGAGCCACAATAGGGAATCCAAGTTTTACATTGAAATATATAGGAAAAATCTTTAAAAATCTTCTTCTCAAGAACAACTGGGCCAGAAAAACTGAAACTTATATAGAAGCATTCTGGGGTAGTGTAAATTCTAAATTGTTCAAATCATGACCCCTGGGGGTAGAGCGGGGCCACAATAGGGAATCCAAATTTTACATTGAAATATATAGGAAAAATCTTTAAAAATCTTCTTCTCAAGAACAACTGGGCCAGAAAAGCTGAAACTTATGTGGAAGCATCCTGGGGTAGTGTAGATGCTAAATTGTAAAAACCATGACCCCTGGGGGTAGGGCGGGGCCACAATAAGTATTACAAGGGGGGAAATCTGGTAAAGAACAGCATGGCCAATGTTACTCAGGTGAGCGATGTGGCCCATGGGCCTCTTGTTGTTTTTGTTTATTTATTCATTTTTTTTTTTGCTGCCGCATTTAAATTCAAGAATACTATTAAATTTAACAGGTAGTCTGATAATAAACTCATTCTATCATTACTGAAAAAGTTCTTATTGTAAACTTGGAAGTAAAGGATCAGAAAGCAGTACAATTAATCCCCTGGGATTAATTATCTTGTCTGGGACAGAAAATTTTCCAGGCTTATCTTTATTTGTCACTTTAAGATAAATTAACCTTTGTCTGCAACTGATGGTTTTTTTTTTGTTTTGTTTTTTTTTAGCTCACCTGAGCCAAAGGCTCAAGTGAGCTTTTCTGATCAAAATTTGTCGGTTGTCTGTCGTCGTCGTCGTTGGCGTCGTCGTAAACTTTTCAAGCACAACAAAGCCATTTGTTAAAACAAATTATATATTGACATGGAAGCATCATCAGGTAGTTTAAAATTCAAGCCCCCCCCCCCCACCCCCCCCGTAATCTTATCAATACTGAACTGATTTGTGCTTTTGCCTTGCCAATGTGCTCAGGTGAGCGATGTGACCCATGGGCCTCTTGTTTTCGGATATTATTTTGCTATAGATGTTTTTAGATAAATCGTGGATTTTTAGGTTTACTAAGTTTACTTAGGTGACATATTGCTATCTGTTTTTGTCCATTGTTGTGTGATGTGCATTAACATTTAAACATTTTCAGCTTCTTCTCTGGAACCACTGAACCAATTTCAACCAAATTTGACATATAGCACTAATGGATGAAGGGGAGTAAAAATTATGAAATTCATGGCCTCTGTCTCCATGGGGCCTGAAGCCGGGGGGGGGGGGGGGCTTAAACATCAAAATTAATGCTATCTTTTAAAATCTTCTTTTTTTACTCCTGGACATCAAGCAGTCAAACTATTGACATGATTATAATGAAAACTGAGCCCTCTACCAAAATTGTGAAATTCATGGTCCCAGGGTCAGGGGCTCTGGTGCTAGTGTGGGGCTCTGTTGAATGTAGGGTGAAAATGCATTATTTCTTTAAAAATCTTATCCTCTGCTCCTTGGTATTAAGCAAACAAACTAAATGCATAGTTATGATGAGGAAGTGTGCCTCTTCCAAAATTGTGAAAGATGTGGCCCCAGGGTCAGGAGTTTTGGTGTTAGTATAATACTCAGGTGACTGTTAAGGCCCGTGTCACTCTGACACATTTAGTTTATAATCATTTGAAGTCAACAAATTAACTCTGTAAAAAAAGCAAATTAACTCTGTTTAAAAATACAACAACCATATCTGCAACAAAAAAATAATGAATTAAGACTGTTATCAAAAGTTGTATTAAGATTTATTGTAATTACTCATGTAATCCTGCTTTATAGTCAACAAAGTGGTTTTACTTTTATATATTAGACAAGTAGAATGCCATTACATTGGGCAGCATCAACAGGGAAAGATGATGTTGTAGATTACCTTCTCAGTCTCAATGTTCCAGTAGATGCTAGAGATGAGGTAATTACACATAATTATGTAATAAACAATTCCTTAATGGTTTCTTGTGTTTTGTAAAATCTCAGCTAAACTTTAAATTCATTTTTATGTATTTCTTATCTTATTTTTGTGCCGAGTTCTTTATTATTATTTTTCTAGTCAAACTGGACACCTCTTATGATAGCTTCCTCTGCTGGTCATGAACAAATAGTATCACAGCTCATTGCTAAAGGAGCCCAAGTGAATGCAGTCAATAATACAGGACAGTGTTCACTACACTATGCTGCCTCCAAAGACAGATATGAAGTAAGACTTTACATGCACTTATATTAAGCTGAATTTTTTTTTTAATAAAATGTCTGATCTACAAATGTACCTAATTGTTTGTTTGTTTTATGTTCCTCAAGAATGTTTTTTCACTCATTTTTGGAGCTATCCACCAATTACTGTGGAAGGCTGCAAATTAGACAATGTGATCTAGTGTTAACAAAGACAAAAAACACTTTTTAAAAAATTCTTTTCTTGGAGAAATTGTGTCTTTCTGTTCTGAAATGAGAAACTAATCTGCCACAAAATGTTTGGTATTTGACAGAAATGATAACATTAGTAAACAAAAAAATTAAAACAGATGCAATTTTTGTGCATTTTAGATTGCAGAAAAGTTACTGGAGCATGGAGCAGATGTGAATATATTTGACCAGTATGGACACATACCATTACATAGAGCTGCATCAAAGGGACATTTAAAATTAGTAAAGCTTCTCCTCCAGTACATTGTGGATGTTAATCACAGAGACACAGAAGGAAATACACCACTGTAATTGTCCAGAAATTATTTGCTTAAATTCTGAACTTATAACTCTTGCCAATTTAAAGTCATAAATTTGAAATAACAAGATGAATGTTGAGGACTCCTGCTTTTTATCAAAGTTCAGATATTTTAAGGCATGCATAATGAAATAAAGTGATATATCGTATCCTTTATTTACAGGCATTTAGCATGTGAAGAGGAAAGAGTTCAGGTAGCAAAACTTCTTATCCAGCATGGAGCAAAAGTAGAACTTCTTAATAAGGTATGGCATCATAATTAGAGGGTGTATTGTATACATATGTTGCAATTATAAAATTCACTCCTATAGAAAGTATTACGTGATGTAGAAATAATTTCACATAACTACCTCTTACTTCTCTTAAATCGGATAAAATGTGTGGGGTCAGGGATTAATCTAGGGTATATTACTGATATTCAGTATTTTTTCCAAAGAGAAAATTTCCCCTGAATATCCCATTTTCTCCCTTTTGATGAGTAAAAAATTCCCCTCACAATGATAAAAAGCTCTTTTTTTCCCTTCATAAAAACTGGGAAATTTATTAAAGTAAAAATTTTCATCAAATGTGAAATATGGTTTGACTTTGCTATTTTATGCACTCTAAATGGTCATAAAAATGCTGAAATTCAATTGGGCTCCCCAGCAGGGCCCACCCTGCACCCGCTGGGGGTCTGGAGTCGCCCCATACCTCGATCTGGCTGATTTTCCCAATTTCTCCAGAAAGGGTAGTTTCCCCCAAAAAAACCTAGATTAATCCCTGGTGATAAGGTTGAAATGTCACATAGTTTGGTATCTTCATGTGTACAATAAATATCGAAAGATGCTCAAGTTTGTTTGGCACAAAAAATGCTTAAGTTTGATTGGCTCGAAAGATGCTTTAGTTTGTTTGGCTGGTGTAATCGTATTCAAATTGGCTTCTTTCACAGAAGGGAAAGGGAGTGTGGTTAAGTTTATAATTTCACTTTTTGTTTTATTGTATAATTATTGTAAATTATTTACTGAAGAGGTATTATGTGAGTTGGCATATAAGGCACTTCAAATAAATTTCCCATCAAAATCTCCAAGAACTGGTCAGGTTCTGGGGCCATAAAACTTAGATGACCTCACTTTTGATCTCAGTCTCACTTTTCCACTATTAATTCTTTTGGTAAAAGTGAGACTGAGATCAAAAGTGAGCTCGTCTAAATTTTAAGACCCCGGAGCCTGTTGAGTTATGAGCATCATCGGTAACCCACAGGTGATTCACATCGATTCTCTCTTGTGGACTTAAAACCATGGTTTGCGACGATGAGTTATGAGTAGCAATTCATTGTTCCTATTTCAGTATGTACCTGATACTTACTTCTTACTTAACTCTTACACAATTTTATATCTTGTAATTAGCATATATATGGTAATAGATAAAACTGAAAATTACAGATATAGCTTTTGATATTACATATTGATTTTTGTTTTAGGATGAAAAGTCACCACTTGATTTGGCACCACCCAGTTTAAAAAGATCATTACAAAGCATTGCTTCATGAAGGTCTTTTGAGCCATCTGAAATCTGAATGGACACTGCTCAAACCTTTATGCTGATATTATGGTAGTGTTCATTGTGAAATTGTTCCTACTTGTACTGCTTTTAAATAGAAGACAAGAGCAAGAAATGAAATGAAAATGGCAAATATTTCATATAGTTACATTTGTACATGTTCAATATACATAAAACTTGAGGACAACTGAAAGTTAATAATAATGGATAAGTACATGAAAGAGAACAGCTGCATAAAGAGACATATTATGCACAATTTTTGGTACATGTACATATTTTTCTGAAATAAACTGATAAAATGTGGCTCTTTTGTTTTATGAACATGCTCTGCTTGTAAGTCAGTTACAGTAAAACACACTTATAACAAAATGCCAGGGACAGGTCACAGATGATTTTGATTTGTAATAAACGTAATTCTTTTTATCCCATGTTTACCCCTTTATCCCATGGATATGACTCATTGGATATTTTTTTCATATCCCACAGTTAAGTGCAGTTGTGACGTCACAATGGTTTTTGCGTTAGTGTGATGAAGTAAAATAAAGTGGAGTCCTATATAAAACAGTGTAAAACATTGGTTGTGAAGTATTAAACATGGGATAAAAAGAATCTCCCATGATTTGTAATTGGATATGACTTTTATCCAACTCGTTGTGTATTTTTATCCCCTCGCCAAGGCTTGGGGATAAAAAACACAACTCGTTGGATAAAAATTATATCCAACTACAAATCATGGGAGATCTTTTTTTATATCTGTTAGTATCATAATACAGTTTTTAAAGTCACAGGGAATGAAAATCACTTCGCTGTAATTTGGTGTCAATTCGATCATTATAAGCGTGTTCTCTATACGTGTGTTTTACTGTAAATGGACAAAGTTAATTGTACAAAAGCATGACTTTGCCCTCAAAGGAAGCTTGATTGATGATTTGTGCACACTTCGATTGTGTTTTAATGACAAAGTTGCAGTTGCTTTTTTAATAGCTCACCAAAGCATAAGGCTCACTTGAGCTTTCCTGGTCAAAATTTTCTTTAGTATTGTCATCATAAGTGATGTAAATTTCTCATATTTTAGTCTTGATGAATAATCTTCTCCACAACCAATGGGCAAATTTTCAACTAAACTTGGTACAAAGAAGAAATGAAGGCCATATGCCCCATTGCAAGAAGAGATAATTAAGAAAAGACAAATCATTTAAAATCACAAGAATCACTGGGCCAGAAAAGATATAAAGTGGGAATCCAATAATATTGATGTGCAAACATTCTTATTGGATTCCAGTTTGTTTAAACTATGGACTCTGGGGTTAGGGTGAGGCTAAAATTGGAAGTCAAATATAAAACAAATTTTTAAAAAAAAAAAATACATGTACTGTAGTATAGGAAAATTTTAATAATATCCTATCCAGAAAAGCAAGGAAGCTTTTAGTCATATTAATATTCAGAATTCCCATGTATGACTCCTTGAGGCTAGAGTCAACATTTTTCATGAATATGGAAGAATCTGAAGAACAGCAGGTCTAAGGTGCAGATGAGTGTTGTCCACTGGCCTCTTTTTGATATTTAATTTTGTTAAGTAGCTCAATGTTTAGGCCAAGAGACAACAATCAACTAATGATTGATCTCCAAGATTAAATAGCTTTGAAATTCAGTTTGTGATCACCAACTGAGTGGATTCAAATCTATGTGTCGAAGACATTACTTCGTACTTTGAACTGTTCAAGAAGACGGTACTTCAAAATGTATCAAAAGACTAATCTTCATAATATTAATAATCTTTTTTAAAAAAATACATTAAAAGATGTATTGATTCACATACATGGACATATATATACTGTTTAGCAGTTTATATTAGGGAGATGATAATTTTTGCTATATATAGGTCACCTGAGTCATCTGTTTTTGTGCTGTCCATCATGGGATAATTAATATTTGATCATTGCCATCTTCCTCTCTGGAACTGCATGCAGAACCAATTTTCAACTAATTTTGGCATAAAGCATCTATAGCTGAATGAGAACAAAATTGTGAATTAAATCATGACCCCTGCCCCCCTTTAGGCCTGAGAGGTAGGGCAAAACCATCAAAATTAATGCAATCATAAAAAAATCTTTCTCTTCACTCCTGGCTCCAGGGCCATAAAACTTAGACGAGCTCACTTTTGATCTCAGTCTCACTTTTACCAAGGGAATTAATAGCAGAAAAGTGAGACTGAGATCAAAAGTGAGATCATCCAAGTTTTATGGCCCTGACCACTGGAAAGCAATTAAGCAGTCAAACTGTTGTTATGGTTGTAATAAGATTAAGCCCTCTGCTAAAATTGTGAAATTCATGACCCCAGGGTTAGGGGCTCTGGTGTTAGGGTTGGGCTCTATAGATCATATAGTAAAAATGCTTAAATTCTTCAAAAATCTTCTTCTTTTCCATATATATAATTAGCAGACAAACTAAAAGCATGGTTATAATAAACAAGAGTACACCTTATAAAATTGGTGGCCCATGGGTCAGGGGTATTGCAATAAAGGTGGGGCTCTATTCATCATATAGTGAAAATGCATTTATTCTTTGAAAATCTTTTCCTGGCTCTTAAGAATTTATCAGACAATCTAAGTGCATGGTTGTAATGAGCAAGAGTGCCTCTTCCAAAACTGTAAAATTCAGGGGCTCTGGTGTTAGGTTAAGCTTTATATATTGGTCATAATATATAGTGTATAAATGCATTAAATCTTTTAAAATTTTCACTGCTCTTTTTAAAGTATTTAGCATACAAATTAAGTGCATGTTTATAAGGAGCAAGAGTACCTCTTCCAATATCATGAAATTCATGTCCCTCTGGAGCAAGGGTATTGGAATTAAGGTGGGGCATCATTGATCATTTCATGAAAATGCATTAATTCTTTCGAAAATCTTCTCTTCCCTTGAGCATTAATTATTATATTATTAGAAGTATACATTTATTAACTGGGTTCGAGAGGAACATTCATGTTGTTGGACCCAAGAACCAAACTGTTTGGATTGAGGGGTTGACAAAAAGTATTTTGCCCCAGAATAGCTGTCAATAAATGTGTTGTTATATTTTATTTGTTTATTTTTTGCTGGCTTCCATTATCAAAATTTTCTTTATGTGCACTGCGGAAAAACTATTCTCATAAGATTTAGCTGATCCTGCCCACAGTGTGTGATTTAAGCGGTCTAATATCTCATCGACATGCAGGTCTTATATCTCACTCTCTGGTCAAACATCACTTTTTAATGACTGCTCAGTTAAACATTGGAAATGTTATGCTTTTTTTAAGTAAAGATTTATATAGGAACCAATTTTTGAAGGTATAACATTAGTATTTAGCATAGAAACTCTTCCAAAATTATGAAATTTATGGCCCCTGGGGCAGGGGTTCTGGTGTTGGGGCATGGCTCTAATAGTAATATAGTGAAAATTATACATTTATTCTTTGAACATCTTTTTCTCTGCTCTTCGGTATTTAGCAGAGAAATTAACTGCATAGTTATGATGAGAAAAAGTGCTTTTCCAAAATTGTGAAATTATGGCCCCCGGGACATACATGTAGGTTCTGGAATTACATGTAAGTATAGGGGCTCTATTATGATCATGCATGGGAATAAGAGAAGTTATTCCCCTTTGTTATTCACTAAATGATAATTAGTGTTGTAACGGGAGAGGAGAAAAATGCAGCAGACCAGACCGGGATTCGAACCCGGGCCCCCTGAATCTCCAGTCAGGTGCTCTACCAACTGAGCTATCTGGCCACCGGCGATCGAATCCCATCTGACCGCCACATTCCTCCCTTCTTAAAGGTCTTTGGCCCCCCAAAGACTCCAACCCAGGCTCATCCCTGGCAGGCCTCCTCTCCCGTTACATTTTGTGCCATGACCAGGATGTGACAGGTGAAAGACCTGCCAGGGAAGAGCCTGGGTTGGTGTCTTCGGGGCCGAAGACCTTTAAGGAGGGAGGAATGTGGCGGTCAGACGGGTTCGATCACCGGTGGCCAGATAGCTCAGTTGGTAGAGCACCTGACTGGAGATTCAGGGGGCCCGGGTTCAAATCCCGGCTGGTCCGCTGCATTTTTCTCCTCTCCCGTTACATTTCGTGACCAGGATTCGAACCTGGGTTGTTACGGCCACAACGCGAAGTACTAACCACTATACGATCACGGCCACGAAATGTAACGGGAGAGGAGAAAAATGCAGCGGACCAGCCGGGATTCGAACCCGGGCCCCCTGAATCTCCAGTCAGGTGCTCTACCAACTGAGCTATCTGGCCACCGGCGATCGAATCCGTCTGACCGCCACATTCCTCCCTCCTTAAAAGTCTTTGGCCCCCCAAAGACTCCAACCCAGGCTCATCCCTGGCAGGTCTTTCACCTGTCACTTCCAGGGCATGGCACGGCACCAAATGTAACGGGAGAGGAGAAAAATGCAGCGGACCAGACCAGGATTCGAACCCGGGCCCCCTGAATCTCCAGTCAGGTGCTCTACCAACTGAGCTATCTGGCCACCGGCGATCGAACCCATCTGACCGCCACATTCCTCCCTCCTTAAAGGTCTTCGGCCCCAAAGACACCAACCCAGGCTCTTCCCTGGCAGGTCTTTCACCTGTCACATCCTGGTCACGGCACCAAATGTAACGGGAGAGGAGAAAAATGCAGCGGACCAGCCGGGATTCAAATCCGGGCCCCCTGAATCTCCAGTCAGGTGCTCTACCAACTGAGCTATCTGGCCACCGGCGATCGAACCCGTCTGACCGCCACACTGTAATCAATGTGAGTGATGTATTTGATAAGTAAAAAATAAAAGAATTAAAATTTTTAATATATGAGATGAAAAGTACTTTCATTACTTCTAATAGTTTTTTAAATAATAAGATGAATAAATACGAGATTAATTTTTTTTTATGTACATACATTTTTAAAATTATATAGGCTTAAATATTTATCAAAGGCCAAGAGAGACCATGGCATTGGGGTTTGTGCTAGGTGTACTCTGACTATTATGTATTAAACGTTAGCACATGTTATGTTTGGTTACTAACTGTGCAGATAGCACTAGTATGTATATACAGGGAAGTTTTTGAGTTGTTGCTGATTACCAGACTAGCTTTTTTATTGTTGATGCCTGATCATCTGTTTTTTCTTGTTTTTTAGTGTCAGTTTATTTTGTGTTATTACAGTAAAGCCTGCTAATACAGCGAATATATGAATGTATATATAATGAATATAATGATACTTATAGCAAAATAATTTTCATTCCTCCTGGATTTAAAACATATTGTGAACCTAACAGATATAATGAATTATGTTTATAAGCAAATTCATCTGTCCTTGGCAATTTGTTTTACTGTATATAATTGGATTCATTTAAACTAGAAGTCTCTGATGAGACTGTAGCTCTACTGGTTTGAACTTATAACAAACGAAGAGAAAGTTGCACTTAGACTTGAAACATTGCAACAGCAATAAATAGAATAATGATCCTTGGTTTAGTCTCTGTTTTAGGCAAGATTTATTGCAATCACAATAAAACTGTAGGAGGAGTAGCCTTTTAAAAGAATTTTACAGAAATTTCACTTTTAGTAACCATTGCAACATCATTCATCAAAATAAAAAAAAAATAATTAAGACAATTATGTATCTCAATGTAGTCTACTTGCATGTTAAGTTATATTAAAATCAGATCAAACTGTAGGAAGAGAAGTGTTTTGAAAGTATTTCAAAGAAATTTCTATTTTTAGTAACCATGGCATGAATATCTCCATTGTTGCATCATACTACCATACTTGGCATCAAGACTTTAGTGCAAACTGTTTTGCTTCAAAATGACAGTTGAATAGCGTAACTTGTGGAAACTCATCAGAAAAATAATGTAAATATAAGAAATGAATTTAATTTTTGAAAATTCATGAGGTACATGAACTACAACGCTTCACGCCAGCATATTTATCATGAAGTGCTAACGCGCTTCATCAAATACGCCAGCCTGAAGCGTCGTAGTTCATGTCCTCATGAATTTCCAAAAATTAAATTCATTTCTTAAATGTTTTTTAGTTTAGTCTACTTGTGTGCCAAGTTATATTGAAATCAGATCAAAACTGCAGGAAAAGCATTTTGAACAATTGTTTACAGACAGACGTACGGACGACATACACCTAAACTACTATCGCATAAGCTCTTCTGGTCTCTGACCAGTAGAGCTAAAAATAGAGGGTTGTATTCTTCTCAGACAGAAGATCGACAGACCAGACAAATGAGATTTAATGTCCTCACACTTTTGCTAAAGTGGAGAGGGGATAATGAAAGACGACACAGTTTCATTAAGACAATGTTCTTTATTTTAATATGTTATATTTACAGATCTATAAGTTGTATATAAAAAAAATCTGGACAAGCAGACTTGCATGCATTTTACATTTTTTTTAAAATTGGGTGAATTTAAAAAAAAACAATCAGTAAGGAAAATATTATTCATTCACATATCCTAAAATAAAGTTAACATATTGTAGTAATAATTGGCACTACAGCAACACGCTTAAATGCACAATATGGTGGAAGTAGTAAATAAAAAATAATGGAATTGAAGGCAACAAAATAAAGAAAAGAAAGAAGGCATAAAGGTAACTGAATGTGCAGCTTGGTCTCTTTTAATTTCCAGAGATGTTTTTATATCACAGACTTTTGTTTGTCGCTGTCATTTGTTATGTTGTTGGCAGAAATATTGCTGCTTATTAAAATATATTGGAAAGTCAAAATGACAATGAAATAATAAAGTAAGGCATCTGCTTTTCAGGAACACTTCCAAACAATAATGGCCATATTTCCTCCAAAAAACATATATAGTAAGTTTTTCACTTCATGTGTGATTTCAAAACCATATCCTTCTCCAACAACTGCATGCCAAGAAGCACCAAACTTTTTATCCATTGTCTCCTTTATCATACGTGCTGCATTCTGAAATATTAGTGGGAGTCAAAGGCATCAATATACAACTATATGTACTTTTAAGCAAAATGATGAACATAACTAAACTAATTAGATTATTATTGTACGAGTAAAATGTTAACAAAGTTATGTACTGTGTAAGTTTCATGAAGATATTCTACTAGAATAGGCTGAGGGAAATGTGCAGATCTATACATATAATGATGCTCACATTGACACAATATATGTTACTGGATGCATAAATAGATGAATGTTGTGCTAAAGCAAATATAGCTTTAATTCTTGTCATGGGAACTTAACTTTTTTTCACTTTCACTTTTAACTGAGTAAATATATCTGAAAAATGTCATCAAAATGATTACAAAATCAAATGCATATACCATACACATGCTTACAACTGGAGATTATGTTCTTCATAAGCATAAATTTCAAACAAAGATGTATCATTAATCAATCTTTTATCCATGTTAATATTCACAGGTCAACTGGACCATTGGAGTGATTTTTATGAATAGTTAGACTGGCAGCACTGTAATTGAACTAATTTGGTTTTTAAGGAGATTTGCAAAACAGTATTTTACTAATAAATTTTAACAGTTTGTTGTTTGATAATGCTGTTATTGCTCTTATTGTTAACTTATGTAACGATGTCTCATATTTAAAGATTGCTACGGTTGCTTTTTTTTTTTTTTTTTTTTTTTAAAAAAAACAAGGTAAAAAGAAGCAGGAACAGTCAGTTCTTCTATATTGCAGCAATGAGGAATGTAATGTTACTGTGGTGAGGGCCTTTCCCAACAAAATTAGATTGTATTTACTAATTCAAGTCTGACAAAATTAGATTGTTTTTACAAATTTAAGTGTGACATTTTCCATTATCATGTACATGTACATTAAATGCAGATGATAGAACAATAAAGGTATTAGCATTTGTGCTTTACCTCATTGTTTGATGCAAATTTTTCACATGCTGTTACACACAATTCCATTGCCTCTGTTTTCATTTCGTCATTCATGTCTGAGTGCTGAAAAATTAAACAACATTGTCAGTCCACACTTCTGATTTCAATTGATTTATTAAGTACCTAAAAAGCACAACTTCATTATAAAATGTACAAAATCTGAGAAATGATTACCAAACAGAAAATATCAAAATTTCATTAAACACATGTGATAAGAAATTTGCTTTGTAGCTTTGGAAACAAAATGTTGGTAATCCGAAATTCCTCTAATGAATGTTTTTACAATTATTATTGAAAGAGAAAAAATAGTATTCCCTTTAACATAGTATAATTTATTAAATCAATATGAGAGCAATGGAGATTTTTACACAACTTACTAAACCTTTGTTCCATCCATTGTTTTCATTTTTTTTTATTATGAAGACTTATTTTTCAATTATTGAATGTATTCATCGTTTATCTCAGAAAACCAGTTTTTGAGTCGAAATGCAAAACTTACTCGAATTAACGGGTATGTGTGAACTCTCTTTGATTCTGGTTCTTTCTTCTGTTCTTCTTGTTCTGCCATATTTTTCTGTATATAAATAAATCTACCTGCAAAGTATTTTCAGCTTTCACAGACAACCCGTAACCAAGTACTTGCCCGCATGCGCGAAGTTTCAAAAATCTATATCCGGTGTGTCTAATAGGAAAATGGCAGTGGCATAAGATGCAGAAAAAATTATCCCGATTAGTTAACTTTATGTTAAATACCCTTAGAGTGTGATCCTATTCAACTCCTAGTGTTCCTGATGTCTCCTATTTGGATAGATTCCTTGAAAAAGGCCACTTTTCTGTAATCTCCGAATTGGTTTGTAGGATTTCTTTCAGATTAAGAAATAAAGGGGGAAGGGGGGGGGGATTCTGTGGATTATGTCTAATGAAATGATATATTGCTTATCAAGCTAGGCAGTTTTTAATCAATATTTTCAAACAAAAATTACTGCAATATCTGATCTTAAAAAGAACCAAATAAATATAAAAGAATAATAATGTTAACACTCTAATACCAATAAACATGATACACATTCTTTTTTGTATATGTATATTAATTTAATATGTCTTATAAGCATCTATTACAGATAACCCCCTATCTGCTATAATCTCCTGTATTTAGTTTCTTTCTTATGTCGACATTTTGCTGTTATCAATTTTAACTTTCGTGTACTCTTTACTTGTATGCCCCAAATTGGTCTCAATAAATCTTATTTTTTATTACATTTTCAACAGTGAAGTACTGTGATTTATTTATTGAATAAAAGTGATGTTCTCTCACAGTGTGAAAGAATACCAATATGAGATTCTCTCACTGTGTGAAAGGATATCAAAGTAAGTAAAAAATAATTTCTGGCCTGTCATAAGATAGAGATAGCAACTAAACATCTTGATAGAGCTAAAACTGCAATTTTCTTCCCAAATATGACGCTAAAATCCATGCTTTGTAATGTTTTCAATCTCACAACTGCTAAGCTATGACGTCTCAACCGCTCAACTATGACGTCAAGCCTAGCTATGACACTGTGTTAGGAAAAGACAGAGGCAAAGGGAAAATCAACGAAAATGTAATAAACAGAAAATTCAATGTTTTGTAGCTTCGCACTCGTGAAAATATCAAAAAATCCTGTCCCACTCGTGAAATAAATTCCATATTCATCTACAAAACATTGAATATCCTCTATATACACGCAGTCTGGCAATGTGAATTCGTAAGTAACATTGCCGTTTTCTTTCCTATATGCATCAATCATAGTTTAATTTTAGTAGTGTTTTTACTAAAATATATATATTTATAAAACCAGATTATTGTTATTTTTGTGTCTAATGCATGAACATTTTTCAGGCCCGTAGAACGCGGGGGGTGGGGGGGGGGTGTTTCTTAGTATAGTATTTTGCTATAGTAAATTTTCCTTTAGATGCTGGTTGGCCCCTCCCACTTTTTGTTGCTCGTCGAGCACTGGCAAATTCCAGGATTTGGACAGTTAATTATAGTTTTTTTTTTTTTTTTTTTTTTTTTTTTTTTTTTTTTGCCTTTTCAGATTATTTTTGGGAAGTTGCCCCCCATCCCACTTATTGGTCAGTCAGAAGTTCTGTCCTTACTCTTTTCAAATATAGAGATTTTACACTTACCTGCCCTTGATTGAACATTTGGTATGCGTGAGAGGTGGAGCTAACATTGCAAGAATGGGTCTAAAATTAGACTAGATATTTAAAAAAAAATACGAGATCACTCTTTCCCATTCCCTCTTTATTCTGATGGCACAAGTACACTATTTACAAAGGCTTCAAAAACTAAAATTATAACAATATGTGCACGTCCATGTAAGTAAAGAATCTTTTAAATCCTAACAATGTCCTAGTTAGCACAAAACATGCTGCTTTACAAGTCATGTGACGGAATTTAGTATTCACAGAGTTACCTGAGGTAAGAAATCACGTGGTGGATTATTATATTCAACATGTCACAGTCCTTGGTTACAATAGAGAGAGCGAATGTGAGAAGAAGCAGTTTTTTCTTGTTAAACCATGAGAGCATGTTTGTCTATTAATCTTCGTCATACATTTTGAAAATTTCATGTTTAATTCTGACAGGAAAATCACTTTCGATATTCATAAAAGAAATGGTCCTAAACTTGCTGATTGTATTCCGTCCATGATCACTCTTTCCCATTCGTCTTCTTAGACACAAAGCATCCTTCTACATCTTTTCAGTTTGATAATACACAAACTGTAAAATTCCCTTCCTCTAAAGCACTCAAGGGAAAATGCCATACTTTTTACAGCAGCTTTGGACACCTCCTGTACACTCTATGCTAAATCTCATTTGGTCCTGGTCTTGAGCATCATCTTGCTTTCTTCACTACATATTTCACCACATCCTCCTACTATGTTGGCTCCTTCGCATCCATCAACTTCTTCAAAAAGATCTCTACTAATCTCCCCTGGCTAAAGACTTAGCGCTTCTTAGCATTGCGGATATGCTTCATGCAAATTCATCAATCTCTTCCTTGGGTCAGTAAAGTATCACTGGCCTTTCCTCACCCAGAGCCCTCTGATAAAGTTGAATGGATCATCGACCAACTGCATGTGCCCCGTTCCTCTCCCTCCGCTTCCTCTTCTGTCTCAATTTTTCTGCACTCCCTTAGCTTTGAAAACTTTAACCTGATTCATCGGCCAAGTTTATCACTGCTTTCTCCCCGTCAATTGCTCTCACACACTCTTCTGTTTACTTCATTCAGTTGCTGGCAGCATTCCCTTATCCCCCTTTCCCTTCTTTTCGGAGTATGGGTTGTGATCTGCCCCTTAGGAGACAATTACCTGAACATATTGAGTTACATACGGGAATAAGTTCATATGAGCTGGTAAAATAAGACTGAAATTGTTTTTTGGATTTTTTACGCAAGATAGCTACAGCACAGTCGATAAAAATTACTCAGTCGTGAAAATTCACTTTGACTAACGTTGCTTATCTCCCTTAGCATATGACGTCAGTAAGGCCCAATCACTGTTCAAAGCTATGCAATGTTTACAAACTATCATGTCATTTTGCAGCTTAATTTTAAAGAATATCATAATCATGGCTAAAATCTAGTATAAATATACGATCTTCAAACAAGCAAGTATTTCTTTTTAAAAATTCCATTGCATATTTGCAAGATGTTTGCATGTTTTATCAATCAAAATGTGATCATTTTCATCGTTTGACACTTCGATCTATTGAAAGATAAAGCAATCGGAAGAGAGAAAGAAGGGAGAGTGAGAATGAATTCATTTTTCATAACCAGGGCAGTTGTTTTTATGAAATTATTTATTTACAACCTAGTTTTACTTTCACACAGAGTCCAACACTGTCAGTATGACACTTTTCTTGACAAACGATACGTACCTGCTGCGTTAAGTATCACATGACTTAAAAAAAAACAAGAAAAAAATTTCTTGTGTTACTGTTTTATATAGTTAAATCAATTCTTATCATTTGACACTGTCTTAATATTCACTTACTCATGTACAACATCACCACCAATACCCGATCTCTGGCGCCCCCCCCCCCCCCTCACATCCCCCTTGTTATTTCTTATTTCTTTCTTTTTGTAATTGAAAGTTCATGAAATAATCGTGTCGTTTTTAAACACACTGCAGATGGGTGAAAAAAAAAACTCTGGCAAGAACTATACGTAAACTTGTATATATGGGAGTTAGTACAAACGACGTTTTAAAAAAAGCAGCTCTAACATGTGGAAATATTTCTATGAAGAATAAGGATTCTACCAAATGTAGATATTGAATGAATTAGAAATCGACATTTTTTTTTAATTTAGTAAAATTTAATACATAAAATACGAAAAAGGTAGGTATCTTTCCAGTCAATTTGTTAAAATTTTTATCAAAGATCAGTACTTATCATCGTATACAAACCTGTTTATTTTTCCAGTGTGTATTATATTATATTATTTTTTCTGTAAAGGATATAATTTCAAATGTTTTATCATCTGTTAAAAAGAAAATTAATATTAAAATTGTAGTCTCGCAAATGATAGATGGATTTGCAAATTGATCACGGACTGTACTCAGTCTGATTAAAACCAGCCCCTTCTCCTTTCACTCGTCGTCGTATTAAACAGGGAAATATTTTTTTTGTTTCTAAAGGTTTGATGCAGAGTAAGTAATCGAAGTTGTAGCGTAATTTTATATAGGATATCCATCAGGATCATCCTCCGATAAAAAGCCCCCGTTCTGAGTTGCCGTGCCTTATTAACGACTCGTAAAACTGAATTGACTGAACTACGAAATCAGATAACTCACCTGAAAACATAGACACATTTATATTTACAAAAATAGCTTAAATTAACTAGATAAAAATATGGTAGAAATACATTAGTCTAATGCTCTGTTTACATCAGTGGGCTCTTGTGACGTCATAAAACCACAAAATCAAGAACGATAAGCGGGTAAGAAAAGTAACAAGTGGAAAAGTTTTCACCTTTATTTTTCAGTAGAACAAAGACCAAAAAATATTACTACTCGTAATTTAACATTCTTTCATATATAGCTTTAGGTTTAAAAAGTGAAATCCTAATGTTAAGAATCGTTTCCTATGACCTTTAACCTTCCTTCCTTAATTCTACAATGCTCTCTCCCTTATGTTGTACTTGATGGTTTATACCCTCAATCTTCCCCTCTTCCCTTGATTGCAAACTCGCAAATTTTGCTGACAACTTCTGAAAACTGCTCCACACTGCCTTGTTTTTCCTTTTGGCCTCGGTGTCCTAAGCTTATTTTACTAATTTGTTTTGACTTCTGTGGCTTGACTTGGTTGGCTTCCTTGTGAAATAATTTTCACCAATTTGCCGATGATGTCACGGATGACTCAGACACGAAGAGGCTCCTAGCATTGTGGATTGTTTCCAGGCTCCAATCCCCCTGCCCTCACAAGCAGCTGCTGTCCACTCTGTCTGGGTTTCCTCTCTTGTAGAAAAAAATGTATGTTCAACGGGTAGATCAGGTGCAGGTAAACACAATTTTGTGGAAGTATCTAATTTGTCCAATGTAGATAAAAAAAAATCAGTTATGTTCACTGGGGAGGTCGGGTACAGGTGAATATAA